TTCTTAGACCACCAGCATTCCTAGGAAATGTGTCAGCCAGCGGTAGTTTGTGGAAGTGTGGACAGGTTCCTGGGAGATTGTGGGTTAGGTCCTCTCCACGCTGGATGCCAAGTAGGACTCAGCTCCCATCAGCCTTGACTCTTGCCTGGAAATACCACAGGCCCAAGAAATGGACTTATCCTTCAGATCTGAGCCAGTTTCTTTCAACATTTGTGTGCTTTTGTAGGCTGAATATACTCTCCTTCAAGATCATATGCTGCTGTCCTTAACCCCTGGCAACTCAGAACATGGAGCAGGGTCTCTAAAGAGGTCACTAGGTTAAAATGAGGTCATTAGGGTGGGCCCTGACCCTATATGACTTTTAAGAAGAGGAAATTTGAGGCCAATGCACATGGAGAGAAGACAGGAAAAGACCTCCATCTATAAGCCAAGGAAGGCCTCAGGAGAAGCCAACCCTGCTGACATTTCACTCTCTATCTTCTCTGACCCCACAAAACAGCTCTCTACCCAGGGCTACTAAGAGTTGGCCAGGGCAGGTAATCACTGTCCCCTGTGCTCTACCTACAGAGGCTGGTAGGACACAGAGACACATCCTTTCCAGGCTCTTGTTCTTGGGGGAGCAGCTCCCCAGCACAAGGAATGGGAAGCCCTGTACACATGGGGAGGTGTCTTCAGAGCCATGGGCAGGTCCTGCTCACCCTAGCTGAGTCGTCACCACAGCACAGGATAAGCAAAAGGCTGGGTGCGGGCACGTTCAGATTTTCCCCCAGGGCTCAAACTTTCCTTCCAAAATCTCACACCTATGCAGTCTTTGCTTTAAACAACCTCTTTGTCCAGAAACTAGAAATTAATTCTGGCTCATCCTTTCAAATTTTCAATCATGCAGTTCAAGCAAATGAAGTTCCCGTCTACATCTTTTCTCACCAATCTTTTTTTTTTTTGGTTTTTCTCCGGTACTGGGAACCGAACTCACGACCTTGCGCTTGCCAGGCAGGCGCTTTTGCCGCTGAGCTAAATCCCCAGCCCCCTCTCACCAATCTTAATCAAAACAAATGATGGCTGTTTAGTGGCAACAGTGACACTTGTGCAAAACAGGTGGTCCCCTTGCCTGTCACTAAATTTATTTATTATCTTTCTCCAGTCCTCTTTGGTACAATCCGAACCTCATGATAATCTTCCTGACCTACTTCACTGCAGTGGGCTAGTTCTGGCACCCATCCAACACCATCTCCACCACTAGACAAACCTGCCAGCCCTGCCCCCTCCAGTCTACCCCTCTCTTTGTGCTTCATTTCTTGGCACGTCCCTCACTCCCAAGGCCACCACTGCAGGTCTCCTACCCACAGGGCCCTAGCCACTGGATGCAGGAGGCTCAGCTGCTCATAACATGAGCATATACCTGCAGACTCGGGCACCTCAGATGCAGAAAGAGCAGCTTGAGCAAGTTCCATTTTTGAGGCGGGGGTTCCACGGGTATGTCTCTCTACTTGTTTCTTCTTGTTCTGCAATAATCACCCTATCTCTGAACATTACAAACACCCCCGCGTGTCCTCCTACTCCTCAGTAGCTGGGTCCCACTGAGCCTTCATTTCACGGTATTCCAGGTTCCACTCCCCTCGTCTCCAGGCTGTTCGCTTTGGTTTATCCAGCCACAGCACATCTGTTTGGCAATGCTGTTTTCCTTCTTTTTATTCTCGTTGTTTAAACACTTCCTTTGACTGTCTCAATACATCTTCTTGGAACCCAGTTGCTCATTTGCTCTAATTCCATGTTGCAGCAACAACGACCTTTTAAGCCTTTCTCACTTCTCCAGTCCTCCAAGCCCTAATTCTACAAGCTGGCTTGGCTTCCCCATCAGAGAGATAGGGGCATTCATTTTAGAACTAAAATCCTGCACTAAGCAAGATCACCTTTATAAAAACACTCGAGGGGCTGTCCAATCCAGAATCCTTAGTATGGTCAGTACGGTACAGTCACTGACAGACTGATTGCACAAATGTAGTGTTAAGCCTGAGGTGGAGAGTTTCTTCAGAGCCCTTGCTTACTCATTGGAAAGCCTTTGGATTGCTGGCAGTTGTGGGGGGAATGAATGGAAGTGCTTATGCACCCACTTGCAGTGGGAGCCAGGAAAAAGGGCAGCTTAAGAGGAAGACTGTGTGTGTACACTGAGAGTGGCTGGTATAAGGGTAACACCAGATCACATAGCAATAATATTCAGAAAGACAGACCCAGGAATCATTTTGTCCATCCACAGATTTGTTCATGTTTTCAGATTTGTCACAGAAAGTCTTTCTTTTGTCTTCTGCTCCAGTGCCTTCAAAATCTCCACTTGGTCCTGCCCTGAAATCTCCAATGTAGGAATTGTTTCTCTGGCTATGGCTCTGAAAGTTAACCAGCAAAAGTAGTCTAGTAGCCTCATCAGAAATTAACACAAGGATGCCAGTTGGCTTATAGTGTCTGGTCCCCTTGCCTGTCACTAACACCTCCATGCGAAATAGGTTATGAGACTGGGCAGGTCTGGAGCCAGTTTAGCAGGAAGGGATGAGGCATAAGCCACTTTGGAAGACTGATGCAGCCGTCTACAAGAGAGCCCACCCTGGCAGGAGGTCTCTGAAACACCAGAAGGTAACACAGACAAGAGCTGTCCCCCCACACCACCCCTTCCTGAAGGCATGTCCCTGGCTTGTTGATTTAACTTTTCCAGCATATGAGAGTGGAGAGAAGGGAAGTGTTGACATAATTTGCAAAGACTGATTTCAAAGGAAGGAAAAAGACAAGTTTCTTGGGGGAGGGAGCATTTCCAGTGCAGGGCCCCTTTTTTCCTAAACTTTTAGGCTCCAGGACCAAAGGTCTGCTTCTCCCTGCCTCACTGTTGTGCCCTTGCCCAGTTCAAAGAATTTACACTCAAACCAAGTGTTCACCATAATAAAGCCCTAAACTGAAATATGAATACATTCATCTGAATTAGTGGATCGTGTATATCAAAATGACTATAAAAACCAGGCAATTCTGCTTCCTGCTTGACATTCTCAAGGGAGGAGCTATGCCGAGGCTCATGAAACCTCTCATTGCCCAGGCCTCTTTCGAGGCTCTGTACTTTTTTATTTTAATTTTGAGTTCTTAACTCCTAAAGCTTTAACACTACTCCCATGTTCATCCTTGATGATCAGCCTTGGTCAGACTCCCAAGGAACACGGAGCCAAGTGCACTGGCATGGTGGTAGGAGTGTGTGGGGGGGTCTACTTAATTAGGAAAAGCCAAGTCCACAAACTCTATTGGAATTTCCCCACAAAACTGGCAGAGCTAGGGGCTGGGGATTTAGCTCAGCGGCACAGCACCTGCCTGGCAAGCGCGAGGTGGTGAGTTCAATTCCCGGTACCGGAAAAAAAAAACTGGCAGATGTAGCAACTTTATATTCAGGCCATTCAGATGCCCTTGGCTCAGCTGTTTCTCTCTGTGTGTCACTTTCATATTCTCTGTCACCTTTCTCTTTCACATCCTCCATCACCTCTTTGGAGAGGTGGTTACACCTTCCTCTTCTTCACTGTTCACACTTGTGGATGAATGGGATCATTTGATAGACACCAAAAGATAAGGGGAAACGTTTCCAGGTTGTTGTTTGGGGGAGGGGGTATCTTTTCTTCTTTTTTAAAAAATGACTCTTAGGATCCATGCTCAGTTGATCTCTCCCTCTCCCCTTCCCCTCCCCCCAGTCTCTCTGTCTCTCTGTCTCTGAAGTCAGTTGATATGAAACACGTTTCTGGACCAGCATAGTTCACAGGTCTACCCAGCATTCCAATGTTTAATTACTTAATGTGTCTCAAGTGCAAGCATTCTGGAAACTCAAATGACTCTATTAAAGAATGGTATATCATCTTGGGGGAAGGGGAATAAACTAACGCCTAGGATTAGTATTATTTAATAGCACATGGGCTTGGGCATGCCCCACACAACTCTAAGCACACTATCAGCCCAGAAGGAGGGGAGCAAAAGCTGGCTTTGGGGGTTGGGGGTGTGGCTCAGTGGTAGAGCACATGCAAAGGCCTAGGTTGAGGAGTGTGGGAGGCTGGCTTTGTTGAAGACCTGCTAGTTAACTTAGCTTCGGTTCATTTTATCACCCTACCCATTTTCCTGTATCTGTAGTCCATCTTTTTTTTTTTCTTCCATAATGAGGTCCATTTAAACAGCACCCCTAAGCTGTGTGTGTGAAACTGTCTACACAGCAGTGGGTCTTCCCTTGAACAGGATGTTCCCATTTAGAGCCAAAATGTTCTCCCCAGGACCCACCAGCACCTCTAGCCCCATCACCCAACCTTGCCTAGTATGGGAAGGCAGCGTGGGTGGGAGCATTTGGGTGGTATACCCCCAAAACCACAGTAATTGGAAGGGAAAGGAAGCAAATATCAATTAGGGATTCCTCAGCCAGCTACCAATCTTTCCAAAGGACTCCACCTTGGTCTCTTCAGAAGTAGCGGCTTCCCAGGGACCTCCAATGGAACCGAAACGACTCACATCTCGTAGTGCTGAACATTTCCCCAGGAAGCCTAGGGTTATCTACCCAGCTCCTGGCCTCCCTGTGGGCCTGTCAACTGCCAGCTTCCCAGTGCTTCCGTGGGAATGCGGCAGACAGGGGCTTAGAAAACCGAGGCCATGAAAGGTGGAGTTCTTCGGCAGCACTCGCGGCGCCCCCCCCCCCTTTCCCCGGAATTGCAGAGGATGCTAAGCGCGCTTCCTTGCTCTCTCAGCACCCCTCCCCCTGGGATTCTGGCAAGAGGGCCAAATATTAGCAAATAATGGAGGGGGGCGCAAGGTGGGGCAGGCGAGGGGCGCCCAGGGACCCTCCGCAGACGGGGTGGCGGAGGCGGATGGGGGGGCTCGCCGGGGCTCGCAGGCCAGGCGCCCCCCGGGAAGGCGGGGAGGGCGCGCCTGTTTACCCAGGAGGGCTGTGCTGATAGCACGCTCCTCGAGTTTACTTTGCTTTCCTGGAGTTTATTGTAAAGGGGTAAAGTTTTCGGGTCCGTCACGTGACCCTGACAGGTCCGGCCTATGGCGCGGCGGACCACCCACGCCGAGGGCCACGGAGCGGCTTAATAGCAACAGCCTTGGGATTGTGCGTCCGCGCCGCGCTCGCCGAGAGACTCGCGGCCCGCGTCGGGGTTCTTACCCTTTCCGCTGCTTTTGTAAAGACGGAGGAGGAGGAAGAGAAGACGAAGAGCAAGACCGAGAAAAAGACGACGACAGGAAAGACAAAGAGACCCGCGGCGGCCCGGCCAGGGGGAGACCGAAAAGGCCGGGAGAAGACGGAGAAGCGTTGGACGAGCAAAAAAGGGCTGGATGTGAACTCCAAGCCCAGGTCCGCGCCCTCGGCACCGCGCTCCGGGCAGGGGCTGACGGCCGGCGATGGTGAGTGCGCCCCGGCCCCGCGCGCCGTGCGCCCTGGTCCCCGCGCGCCGTGCGCCCCGGGCGCGGACGGAGGAGCTCGCTGGAGCGCCGGGCGGCGAGGCGGGCCGGGGAACGGCTCCGGGGGGAGTTCCCACGGAGGGGGTGGCCTGGGATCCCATTTTCACGCTTGAGAGGGTCGCCGCCTCGGCTTCCGCTCCCCAGCCCGGTGGTGGCCCCTGGCTCGCGAGTGGAGGCAGAGCTGGCGATCGCGGAGCTGGTGTGGAGAGTGACAGCGCCGGGGGCGGGCGGGCGGGGGGCTCCGGGAGCGCGCGCGCGCGGACGCGGGTCCTCTCCTCCGGAGGGCGCGGGCGCACGCCTTCGCACCCACGCCAGGGCTCCAGGAGCCCCGCGGAAACACCTGGCTGATTAGGACGCCTGGGGCTGGAGAGAGGCACTTTACAAAAACCCGGTGCCCCTACACCCATCTCCCGCCGCCGCTGTTGGGAAACAGGACCACAGGGGCGCTCTGCACAAGGGACCGCGGCAGAGGAGAGGTGTGTTGACCCCTTAAGCCCACGGTTGGGGCGCTCCGGTGCCTGCTCCCCATTAGAGGTGGGCGGGTAGCCCAGTGCAGGGAACGCGAAGTGTTGCCTCGGGGGAGCCCGAAGGTGGGTCCGACTGACCCAGACCCTTATGGACCTGGGCCCAACACTGGAACACAGGACCTCCAGAGACTGTCTCTGAGACATATTCTGGGTCGTAGCACATTTAAATTCGGGTTTAAAATGATGCCCAGTGTATGGCTGAACAGCAAGTCCTAAGTTTTCTGATCTCAGGTTTCATCGCCCTAAAAATCCTATGGGTTGTTGTGTATGGGAGACACCCAAAGACCTCTGTTTTCCTGGACCTGGGAGAGAAGACTGTCTTCCTCCCTTTTACCCTCCTTCCTCCTTGAGAAGGAGAAATACAAAAGAACTAGACATAAATAATAAAGACCCACAATGGGTGGCTCTAAATATTTAATAATTGGATCACTGAGGTCTTGAACTATTACAATAGTCCTTTTTCCGCATTCTGTGTGTGTTCGTGGTTTTTTTTTTTTTTTTTTTTTCTTTTTTGGCTCCAGTAGTTCAACATGCAATTAATTGCCTCCACAAAGAAAGACAATGCTTTTTGGTGTCATCCTTTGTTGTTGTAACTTATTATTTCTGGGTGGTACCTCAGGATAAATTGTTGCCTCAGGTGCATTGTGTCCCCATCTTGTAAAACAAGGGGCTTTCAGTTGTAAGTTTGTGTGTGTTCCAGTGGTCACCCAGTGTCCTTGCACCAGGCTGTAAAACGCCTTCGAGTCCATGATCTTTGTAAATTAAAATGTTGACTCAAGGTGGCCACCAATAGGCCCCAGCATCTTAATACGCCCATTCTCAGTTTAGGGTATTAGCTTCATTTCAAACTCACTGTGAGAGGTGTATCTAATTTCTGGTTATAATCTAGTCATAATCTGACAAGCTATTTGAACAGGAGCTAGCATCATTTGGAATTATTTTGTGAAAAGACAAAGGTTATTACAAATTGTCAGCTTTCTACAGATAGAAAAATTTATAGGGTGAATCAGTATAAAGTATTTGTCCTCTCTCTCTCTCTCTCTCTCTCTCTCTCTCTCTCTGTCTCTCTCACACACACACCTTTTATTTTCCCCAGCCTCTGCCACAGTGTATAATGCCCTATTGAGACATGTAGGCGTGATGTGTAAACCGGATTAGCAGTATGAAAGAAAGACACACAATAAGCTGGAATTGTTTTACTTCCCTTTCATTTCTCATGCCTATATCTCTAATAAATTTGTTGCTCCAGCAGTGGGTCAAAGGGATCATGTTGCTCAGCTGCTTTTTCATGCAGGACCCAATGGCAGAGATCACTGAAATGAATGGTGTGCCTTCTGCCAGATGCAAAGCTTGATACAGATATGTTAGGCAAATAGAGATGAGGCGAGGGAGATGAGGAGAAATTGTTCATAGTCTGGGTCTTTCAAGAATACATCTCTATCCATTGAAGTCATGTGGCTGAGAAGATAGAGAAGGGGAGGGAATCAATACGAGGGTCAATGTGATGTTTTCTTTCAAGTTTATTGAAGGCTCTGAACATTCTCTGCAATTGGTGGCATTCTTAGCAAGAGAATGCCAATAGCTTTTGGCATAGGAAAGTCTAATTCTCCTTTTAAACCTGTATGTAAACCTGGAGTAATCAATGGAGAGATTTCTGGGACCTTCTCAGGGTGTCTCCCCTCTGCCACCTTCTCCACTCGCAGCTCACTGTGAGCTCCAAAAATGTCAGTGCTCTGGGTTTATGCTGTAGACCTCTCATTTACTCCTTTGTGGAGTTGGGAGCAGCTTCCCATTAAAGGAGATCAGGGGTAATTAGCAGCATTATTTTGACAAGTTGGCTAGAGCCATTCCCCGTTCCTCCAGCCTGGGGAGGTAGGGGGGTTGGGGGATAAGGGCAGGAAACTGAAGGTGGAAGGCAAAAGAGAGGGGGGATCAGGCCCGGTGCTTTTATATTTTGTGGCTGCTGAGTCTTTTTCCCCCTCCTCCCTGAAACCTTTAGACTCATTTTCTACCATCACCTTTTAAGTAGATAAAAAAACTGCCAATGAAAACATAATAAAGCATTCTTAGGGACCCAAGAAAATGTGGCTGATGGCACACTGGCTTAAGGAGAGTCGAGACTTTTATCCAAGGTACCTACTCTGAACTGTTTAGGCCCCAGCCCACCACTCACATCTTGTATACTTGGCTCCTCATCCATAAACAGAATAGTACATCAAATCCTCATTCATCTCTCCATCCTACTCTCCCAACAAGAATACTGTAGGATTTAATGTCATGCTGGCAATTCTTTGGATTTCTGGAAGAGAGTATTAAACTCACTCAACAAAATTATAAATGGCCGAGGGTCAAATTGCCGGAATATATTTACCCCTTTATACAAATACCCTCTGCAGAAATTAGCTAAATTACATTGGATTTTAAAGATTCATTTGGTTTGATCTGGGAAACCAGTGAAAAGTTAAATCTCACTGTGGTTTTTCATAACTGCACCAAGTCTGGCTCCCATAGTAGCTTATCATTGGAACAGCCCAACACCAAGGGCAGATGTTTTATTTCAGTGTCATCATTTGGATAATCTGATGTCATTTTTGAGATGTGTGTGGCATGGCCATGGCTATTTGAAACATTGGGACAGAGAAGGGAGGAGCTGTGAGGGAATCCAGAGAGTTGAAGGAATCTGTTTTGAAAGCTCAACTCTAGTAAGAAGTGTTGGATCATGATGGTGAGAGAAGAAAAACGACAGCTTAGGCATTGAGATGAACTTTACTTGGAAAGAGAAATGGACCCCTCAGCTCTTGCTCCACAGAGGCTAGCAACTCCTGCTGGTTGATAAAGCCCTAATCTCTCACTTACTTGGTAACTCTCACCAGGGGAGCCACCAGGCAGAAAGGCCATTAAAGAGTCTGTTACCCGGCAGACACCTTAGCAGGCCTGGCTCCTCCAATCAGCATTCTCCCAGGTCTGTGGAATCCTGGTGGTTAGTTGGAAGTTAACAAACCCGGTGTGGTGCAGCAGTCCCTGCACAGGGCATGCATATTAAAGCCGACAATGCTTACAAATGTAAATAAGGGCAGATTGATTAGGAACAACATTATCGCTGGGAATGTCGCCTTCGCATGCATCAGCAATGAGGCAAATTGGGGGCAGCCTCAGCTCTGACCACCCAAGTCGAGCAGGCTTTTACACTGGCTCCTCTTCCCTTTCTTAAAACGTTACAGAAACAAGGCCAATTAGATCCTCAAAGTAATTCATCTCTGTGTATGAAAAAAGCAGACCACAGGGGAAGCGACGGGTAGGGGGTGGAGAGATTAAGATAGCGCTTGTTAGAGCGAGGCTGGGGATTGGGTCCTAGAACCAATTGGTAGAATTTACAGGCCGGAACCATTGTTTGAAATGCTGAAAAGTTAACCTATCAAACAGTGGGCGAGGGGGCGAGGGGCGCTGAAAACCTCGAGAATCAATGTTCAAAACGTTTAGGAATTAAGTCGAACTGAGGGAAAGGCCAGTGGAAAAGACTTTGCCAGTGAAGTGATGCACGAGTGGCAGCCGCCAGGACGAGAGGGGGTGCAGCTACGCACGATTAGAATTACGGGACCAGAGGGTACACAACTCTAATTCCGCCCCAGAATTTTATAATCCAAGTGGCTATAGGGAAACTGCTTAAGTAAAAGGTTGCGCCGGGGGCGCTAGTATTTTGCTCCAAAACGTTGTAAACAAGTCTGAAAAGACATAGCAACGCGTCTATGGCTACAAAGCTGACAGAACAAAAAGCCTCGAATATAAAAACAGGCTGAAATAAAATTAGAAGTGCCACCTCTAAGTCTCTTTTTAAAAAGCAATTTCCAACAGCAAGCACCAAGTAGCATGCCTCGAAAGATCCGCAGACCCATTTATGAAAGCTAACACAGCAAACCACTTTTCCTGCTTCATGCTGCTTATCAAACATACTAAAATAAAGCCCAGGATTTTACTCCAAGATTCAACTAGCTACGTGTCTCTGCGCTATTATTTATTAACGTAGGGCCGTTTTCCATTGCCTACTGCTTGCCTTCCCCTCCGGATTTCAGCAGCTCTTCCCAGAGCTGCTCACAAAATCACGTGTTCCTTGGGAGTTACGAGTTTTGAATTTCGGCGCTGGCCGGGTAGTCGGGTCCTCCTTCTGATCCAGTGAACACCCCCAAGCGCTCCTATCCTCTTTGTTCCTTTTTCCTCAGGACACCCTACCCCGCTGCGGGTACCGCACACGTTTTGCAGGCTCGGGATTTCAGGGAGCAAGGGCTCCCAGTGAAACCAGGAAGAGAAACGGGTAGAAGGAAAGTGGCGAGGCCGGACGAGGAGCGGGGAGACAGAGCAGGAAAGGAAAGCAGGGAACGAGGAAGGGGCGAGGAGGAAGCGGAGACTGAGGAGCCGCGGGAGGAAGGAAGGGGCGGGAGGGCCGGCGGCCGGGCCCCCCGCGGGAGCCGCGCGCACCGCCCCGGCG